GCCTATGCATGTAAATAACAATATTGCAATATGTAACTATTTGTTTGATTCGTTGTGTGAATTTCGTGAAAAGCTACACAAGGGCTATCTGTGATAGCCATCCCTAATTTAGCAGTAAAAGACTAGAGGGAAGGCAGCTAGTTATCACCACCCACTGTCAACTCTTGGGCTACTCTTTTATTAATGAATAGTGGGATTGACCATCACATTATAACACCCCCACAGCTGAAAGGGTGAGCATGTTTGGTGGAACAGGGATTCAAAACCGCAATCCTCAGATCGAAAGTCAAGCACCCTAACCATCTGGCTATGCTGGGCCTGATATAACTAATAGCTTCTTTTTTTTTTTTTTTTTTATCGCTATACCTAGAGCTCAACTAATTTTGATTTATTTTCAGCAAATTATTTTTATAATGATGGTAAAATATTACTTAAATCCTGTTGTTTTCCTGACAAAATATTCAGAGGCTTTGTGAGAGTAACTATTAAAAAAACATTTTAGTATTTTATATCCTTAGGATGGGTTTAGTAAAACACAACTCTTACTGCAGAATTCAGATATATTATTATGCTTAACATTTTCTGTGTAATATACATATATTATGTATCTATGTCTAAGCTACATTTTATATAATAAAGTTAATTTATACATTTAAAAATAATTCAAAAATAAAAAATAATCACTTTTAAATTCTAAATATTTTAATCTATAATAATGTTATTTTCTTATCAATTATACTTGCAGATTTTTCTTTTTCTGGATTGAAAGTTTATACTTTATAAAAAATCCTGGTTGAGTGGATGACTATGATAATGTTCATTAATCTTTATACGGGCAAAAAAAATATTGATTGATGAATAGTTTGCTCATTTCACTTTATTTGTAAAACATTTACTAGTTAACATGGGCTAATAACAGTTAACAAGTTAAAAATATGCCACTGTTAAGTCATTAACCTAGTTACATGAACAGGACTCCAGTTCAGTTATGACTATATATATATATATATATATATATATATATATATAG